TGAGACAGAATCGGTGTTTTTATTTATTTTGTTTTATCTAGCTAGCTAGCTATCCTAATTGACATGTACAATGTCTATCTCTGGATTTTTGTTCTAGGGAGTGTGTCTACAGCCACCAAATCTCTCTCAGGTTTGTATTTGTTTGGCAAATCATACATTTGTAATTGAAAAAATAATCTTTATATTCATGGGGGTGGGAGGAGAAAAGAGAGGTTGTCAGCCTCCTGTGAGTAATGGCAATACATGATTAATGGTCAGTTATGTGGATTCCCTGAAATAGACTTGAAACTTTATACACCCATGTACATCTTGCTGTGTTAACGTCTCTCCCAGGTATGTTATTTCCATGACATGGAATTTTCATTTTTGTTTGTGTAGCTTTAGCCCTGGAGCTTTTGCTCTTTCCAAAGCTGCCCAGAGCCTCTGGTCATGCACTTCTACTATTTCCCCCCAGATCAGATCATCTAGGAAAACTTTAATACCCTCTATAATAACATCAACAATTTCTTGTGTTTTCCATTGAAACATCTCAGTTGCCAATGAAACCTGAACGACGGTCTGCAGAAACTGTCCACCCCAAACAGTGCATGGAATGTGCACAAACTGTTTTTGGAAGAGCACCTGCCAGAAATCTGCATCCACTGTAGAAAAATATTTGGCAACAGCCATGTTCCTCAACATATTTCCTCAGATAGGTAGTGAAGAAATTTCTCCCTTTTTATATATTTAATTATTTTGGGTTTATAAAGAAGTGAAAGGTTCTGTGTCTCTTTTTTCCCCCCCTACAAAGATCAGAGAGTGTACATGCTCTGTTGGTTCTTCTGCTTGCTCTGTGATTCCCTGAGCAACGAGCCTGTCTAGATCCTATTTTAGCCTCCGCCTTAGGGTCAGGAGAACTTTCCTAGGGTCATGAATCGTGGGGTAGATGCACTCTGTACTCTGTTGAGACCTTTGGTATGCCCTGCAAGATCTCCTCAAACTGTTTCTCAGTTGTTTTGGTCCCTTGTCCCCCCACTGAGTACACTCTGTTGATGAGACCAAGGGCTTCAATTAAGACATTTTTTTCTCAATAATCGGCAAACCCTCCTTATATGGGTTTTCACAGGGAAAAGGTACCCTATTGCCCCTATTCTAAGTTCCTTCCTATGGTTATTTCTGAATTCCATGTCAACCAAAGCATCCTTTTACCTATCTTTTTTTTTTCTGAAACCCCATGCTTCTGCCAAAGTGAAAAGACTTCTTTCCCTCAATGTCAGGGCATGCTTCACAAGAGCACAAGCTGCCTCTATAGACAAAGGGGCTGCTCTGCTATGCCTGGCCATAAGGGGACACAGCGACCTGTGCTTGGTCTGGAGCTCTCCAACTTCCAGTCGTCAAATACCTGAAAAGGCTTCTGAATTTCAAACCTCCATTTAAATGTAAGCAGAGTCAGAATGAGCTCTACCCTGACATCTGGTGGTGAATTACGGTGAGTGTGGAAAAGAACTCCAGGGGCTGATCTTGTTTGCATAGGCACTCCCACCCGCCTGGCATGAGACAACAGCAACTGATAGTGGTTACTTTGGATGGGGTGGGAACCCCAGTTTCTCTGTTATTGGGGCAGGAGGAATAAAGTGTTGTTACCCTGATTATGTGAATCAAGGACAATGAAACTGTTTTATGACAGAGTGTCTCACCATCACCTAAGTAGCACTCGCTAGACAAGGGATGTGGGTTCCACAATCCAGTGAATGGAGAGAGGATGGGGCCAGGTGTTTGTACCTGATGGTATGGGCCCCCTTTGAGGGCTTGAAACACCAATTAGACCATCTCAACTCTCCACTGTTGAATGTCAGAGCTAACTTTGATTCTATTAGGAGTCTAGTTACAGGCTGCTGAGCTGAATTAACTTTGGGCCAATGGTGCACCAGCACTGGGGCTCCCCTACTGTGAGTTGAAATCACAAAAGAGCTAAAAAGCAACAGAGGGTCCTGTAGCACCTTTAAGACTAACAGAAGTATTGGGAGCATAAGCTTTCGTGGGTAAGAACCTCACTTCTTCAGATGCAAGTGCTAAAAGAGCTAAAGTTATTAAGAGCTGAGATCACTGAGTGCTGTGTTAACTAGTGGGGGAGCCTGAAGCTATATTGCTAAGCAGCTGGTGGAGCAGTTTGCGGGGACGGCTGGAGGAGCAGCAAGCAGAGCGGAGTCTTGCGGGAATGGTTGGAGCGGCCCAAGGAACGGCGAGCGGAGCTGTTTGCGGGGACGGCTGGAGCGGCTCACAGGTCGGTGAGCGGAGTGGAGCAGCTCGTAGAGCAGAGCAGTTCGTGGGACGGCAGGAAGTGGACTGGCTCGTGGTGAAGGCTGCGGCGGAACCTCACGGAGAGACGGCCGGCCGGCCTCAGATCACGTAAGGTGCCCCTTAACACCCTGCGTGCCCCCCTTTTACTCTAGGGCTGCACTGACCAGGGACAGAGACTTTGGGGGTTGTTGGACTTTTGGGACTTTGGGTGGTTGCTGGACCCAAGAGACTTTGGGGGTGTTGGACTTTGGGGACTCTGGGTGATTTTTGGGTTGCTGGATTCAAGAACCAAAGGGAAAGGACACAGCTCAGTTTGCTGGGGTGGGTCTTTTGCTCATGGTTTGTGTTATGAATCCTGTTTGTGGTGTTTTTCCAATTTAATGCTGATGTCGTTTACCTCATGTTATTAAACATTTTCTGCTACACTCAGACTCCGTGCTTGCGAGAGGGGAAGTATTGCCTCTTAGAGGCGCCCAGGGGGTGGTATGTAATTGTCCCAGGTCACTGGGTGGGGGCTCGAGCTGGTTTTGCATTGCATTATTGAAATGGAACCCCTAGATACAGAACCCGGCCCTTGTTGCTGCCAACTTAGATGGGCAGAAGGGTTACATAAAAATAAAGGGAGTAAAGAAAAAGCCCTCACTGCATGCCCATTCTCCCCTGGGCTCCCATTGCTATCCAGCACTGTGCTAAGTGTCTGGGAATGTGGGAGTTCTCCTGCTGTGTCCCTAAGTTTCCACTGATACCCTGCCATGTTAAGGGATATGGATGATGATAATGAACAGGCTTTGCTCATCTGCCCCCTCTGCTTTTTTGCCCTTTAGGTGTGGGGAGGCTGTGAGTGGGAGACAAAGACCTTAGCTGGTTTATGGTGGTGTTTCCAGGTCTGTCCATTCTCCCTTGCTAAAAAGACCCTATAAATATCAATGGGGAGAAGAAGAACCATCATAAATAGCTTTTAAAATAATGTTTTTTCCCCTAAATGTCAGGACATACTTATTTAAAAGATGCTCTACCAGAAACTTGAATTTTGGAAATATGTTGTCAAGGCTCCTTCCCCACTCTGAACTTTAGGGTACAGATGTGGGGGCCTGCATGAAAACTTCTAAGCTTAACTACCAGCTTAGATCTGGTCCGCTGCCACCACTCCCGATGTGCTAATTCCCTTCCCTGGGTACTCTTGAGAGACTCTTCACCAATTCCCTGGTGAATACAGATCCAAACCCCTTGGATCTTAAAACAAGGAGAAATTAACCATCACCCCCCGTTCTCCCACCAACTTCTGGTGGATCAAGATCCAACCCCCTTGGATCTAAAAACAAGGAAAAATCAATCAGGTTCTTAAAAAGAAGGCTTTTAATTAAAGAAAAAGGTAAAAATCATCTCTGTGAATCAGGATGGAAAATAACTTTACAGGGTAATCAAACTTAAAGAGCCCAGAGGATCCCCCTCTAGCCTTAGGTTCAAAGTTACAGCAAACAGAGGTAAACACCCTAGCAAAAGGTACATTTACAAGTTGAGAAAACAAAGATAAAACTAACACGCCTTGCCTGGCTGTACATTCAAGTTTGAAATATGAGAGACTTGTTCAGAAAGATTTGGAGAGCCTGGATTGATGTCTGGTCCCTTTTAGTCCCAAGAGCGAACTCTCCCCAAAAACAAAGAGCACAAACAAAAGCCTTCCCCCCACCAAAATTTGAAAGTATCTTGTCCCCTTATTGGTCCTTTGGGTCAGGTGTCAGCCAGGTTACCTGAGCTTCTTAACCCTTTACAGGTAAAAGGATTTTGGAGTCTCTGGCCAGGAGGGATTTTATAGTATTGTACACAGGAGGGCTGTTACCCTTCCCTTTATAGTTATGACATATGTTGTTATTATTTTTATCTCAATTTTGAGTGTCCCTTTAAAAAGTTTGACTTCATATTAGTATAGTTAATACATAGGTCTTCTGTCACGCCTTATTCAGTTTAGCGTTCTGATAACATATTGTTGGATTGTTCTCTGCAATATAATTTAAAGTCATTAATAGTAACCCCCCTACTCAGTTCCAGGAAGCTGCATACATGAGTCCCCCTCAGAGCTGTGCATGAGAGTGGTTATTTCAAGTTAATTCACGCAGGGCCGGCTCCAGGGTTCTTGCCGCCCCAAGCGGCAGAAAAAAAAAAAAAGCCCCGATCGCGATCTGCGGCGGCAATTTGGCGGGAGGTCCTTCGCTCCGGCCGGGAGTGAGGGACCGTCCACCAAATTGCCGCCGAATAGCTGGACGTGCCGCACCTCTCCAGAGTGGCTGCCTCAAGCACCTGCTTGGCAAGCTGGTGCCTGGAGCCGGCCCTGAATTCACGAGACAGAAAGTAGAAGTGACTATCACCAGAACAGACAAACTGGCTGTACACAAACTACAGTCAATTGCGCACACACACAAAAAACAAATGAAAAAATATATATTTTCTGATAAATTCTTTCCGCTTTAGTAGTCATGAGTGTTGTTTGTAACTATAATATGTAAACATTTTTCCAGACAGAAATAAGATTGTTCAGATCAGCAACAGATCAGTATCCCTTTAACGTTATGGTTTTATTCTGAGCTGCAGAGCAGCTTCTGTGGCTGAAGAGGTAAACAGGAACACAGACTGGGGAGTGACACCAGTAATGTGGATTATGTGAAGGATGATAGCTTCAAAGCATTACATGTAGATGCCTTTTTTAATATTTATATTTTCAGATGTACCGTCCATTTGGTCTTCATGTTGTTCTTATTGGATTAGAGCTTTGGACAGAAAGGGATCTCATTACAATTACACACCGTTTGGGTGACAGTCTTGAATTTTATTCAGCCTATGCTGAAAAGTTTCTTATGGGCCGTGTACGTTTCGACCACACAGAATTAATTTTGTAAGGTTCTTTTATTTTAATCTTTTAAATATATGGTAATACTGTTCTTTATATTTATTACTGTCAATATCAAATTCAGACCTTAAAGATATTTTGCACGATTTTGTTTGGAAACTACACAAAGTACCCTGCCCAAAATGCTTCCATTATTCTCCTGCATAGCCCAACCGGCCATTGCAGCATTAGGTTTTCCTTTGGGTTCTGTAGCCTAAGAAGCATAAGCAGCTTGATAGTCTCCACCTACCTGGGAAAATCCTCAGTTCATTTTTAATGACTAACAGATTTATTTGGCCATAAGCTTTTGTGGGTAAAAAACCCCACTTCTTCAGATGCATGGATTTTCACTCCATGCATCTGAAGAAGTGGGGGATTTTTTACCCACGAAAGCTTATGCCCAAATAAATCCGTTAGTCTTTAAGGTGCCACCGGACTCCTCATTGTTTTTGTGGCTACAGACTAACATGGCTACCCCTCTGATTTTCAGTTCATTCTATTTTCCATGCAACAGCACACATGGCTTCCAGACCTCCTGACCCACACTGGACAAAGCAAATGAGAAACCCGGTTCAAATTCTAAATGTTTGACCAATTGTACAATTTCTTATTCAGTTTGTTTCTTGTAATTGATTTTTGGGGCAGATTTGCTAAGGCTTCAGCTCTACGGCACTCTGCTTTAGTTACTATTCAGGAACCAGGGCCCCAGTGTGCTAGGAACTGTTCAAACATTCATAGATTATAAATCCAGAAGTGACCATTTGATCGTCTTGTCTAGCTTGCACAACACAGCTCAAAGGTCTTGCCTGAATTAATTCCTGTTTGAACTAGAGCATATCTTTTAGAAAAACACCCAATCTTTGGTAAAGTGTTCCAATGGGTTAACTACCCTCGCTGTAAAATATGTTCCTTATTTCTAGTCTACGTTTGTCTAGCCTCAACTTCCAACCACTAGATTTTGTTATAGTTTTATCTGCTAGACTGAAGAGCCCTCTATTATCAGATTCCAGTTCCTCATGTAGGTAGGGACAGGCCTTGATCAAGTCACCCTTTAACCTTCTCTTTGATAACCTAGGCAGATTAAGCTCCTTGAGTATTTCACTATAAGGCATGTTTCCATTCTTTTAATTATTATTAATTAATTATAATTATAAAGGTCCTTGTCTTAATCCTGTCCGGTTTTCAACAACCTTCTTGAATTAAGGACACCAGACCTGGACAAAATATTCCAGTAGCTGTTGCCCCAGTACAAAATACAGGGCTGATATAATCTCTCTCTTCTACTCAATATCCCCCTGTTTATACAGACCCTACCTCAGCTACTATAGCTAACTGCCCCCAAGAAGCCCTTATGGGTGCTAGGGCTTTGCCCCATATGATGGTAAATCAGCCTTTTTCTCTTTCCCTTATGTTTCTGTCTAGTACAGGATATATATGAACTCTGATCTGGAGGAATATGAAGAAAAGACTCAGGAAAGATTCCTTGATCATAAAGAAAGAATTTAGTATCATTCATATACATCTGGGGCCCTCTGCAGAGTCAAAGACAAAACAAGAAAACAAAGAGGGAGAGATGACTAGGTATATTTCCTTTGAACTTCAAGGAAGGGAGATGTGTGTCCCACTGTACTCCTTCCTGGAAAAAGTGAATGTGAAAACAGAAGTGCCGTAATAAATATAAATGGTTCAATGAGAAGGCTCAGAATTTGTATGTTGTGTTCAAATCTGACACTTCCCAAGGTGAATGTAGCCATTTGCTTTTCCGGTAAAGAATTCATTAATTTCACCTGTAGTGTACTTCCTCTTTCTTGTATATATGATATCCATGCTCCATACCTTTTCAGACAGCAGTTGACATGTCAGATCAGGATCAGCCCACAACATTTTGGCACCTGAGGTGGGGAGCTCAAATGATGCCCCCATGCCCCCTCGCTTGGGCCAAAACTTGGAAAGGTCTCAATTCTGCCTTCTTCCTGTTCTACTCCTCTCATGGTACTGCTCTACTACCTACCCCAATAAAGGAGAACTAACAACTTAAAATGCCTTGTTCAAAATTTTTAAGTAACACTTAACTTTCAAATGCCTGAACAGCAAATGTAACTTTTCTTGTCTGCATAGTAAACACTGGCATTTTTATCCGTTTGAATAATCAAAGTGGTACTTTCCGTGCCTTCTTGGTTGCAAAGATTTGAACTGCTTCCTGAAGGGGCACAGTCTGGGCCCAGCTCATGCTCTATTGAGATGGTTGCAAGGCTGACCAGCCTCTCCTGTGTCATTGTGGAGCGTAGATGTGTTTTTATTAACTTCAGCTCGGAGAAGCTGCATTCTACACTGGCAACTGTTACAGGAAGTATTAGAAGTATGCGCAGAACAACAAAAGTAGTTGGAAAGAGGGTGGACATCTTATTCGTGCATATATATTTCAGAACAGCCTTTGGAGTTGATCCTGATGAAATGTATCTTGAAAGGGCTTTCAGTTCATCACCTAAATCACTCGCATCAATACCACACATGTCATCATGTGTCAACAATGTCTCTAGTGCCCTGCATTGCTGGTGTAGGTCTTCTTCAGGTATAGTGAGGAGTTTAGGAATATCATACAACATCCGAAATATATTGTTGTGTTCCTTGAGCTGCATGAAACATTCTTCAACTGACTGTATTGCACAATCTAGCAGCCGGCTAAAGAATTCAACCTTGAATTGTTATTTGGGGTCTCTTATGGGATTATCCCATGCCTCGTATTGAAAATGTCTTCTTCTTTGGTGACTCTTATATTCTTGAATGGGTGGGAAAATAGCTTCAGTGTGAAGTTCCTCTGCCAACTTCTGTGCACTCTTCAGAACATTTTGAAATCCCTCATCTGACCAGTAAAACAGTAGGTATGACTTTGCTTTGTCCAGTTGTTCCATTGCTCCAGATATATCAAGGTCAACACCTTGGAGTCTCTTGCTTACAACATTTATTTCAAACAGTATGTCATGCCACACAGAAATTTGAAGTTATGTATGTTTTTGGTGATTCCATTTCCCTCTGCCACTGTTCTCCCACAAACAGTTCCTGCCATAGCATTATCCTCCATAATGGCAACTATGGCATCATCTATCTTCCCAATTTGGGTTTGATAGGCTTTATCGCCTCCATTTGACTTTCCCATCGTGTGGCACTCAGTGGTTTCAGTGTCAGAGAGGATGTCCCCAGATGTTGCTTCAAAATTTGCCATCAATGAGTTGATGCAGAGAAAAATACATAGATGCTTTGAATTACATTACAAAATTCAGCAGCCTCACTAGAAGCGGATGTTGCATCACTGACCACCAAGTTCAGTTATGAGAACTGCATGAAACAAAAAAAGCTCGAGGGTTTAACTCTCGGTTCCGTGTCTCCACTCCTCTGTTCTTTCCTCTCATGTTGGCACCATTATTGTCACCCTGATCTGTCATGTCAGCTATTGCAATTCCCGTATCTTCCAGCTTTTTAAGAAGCATATTTGTCATACCAGCTCCTGTAGTATCATCAATGTCAATAAATTCTAAGAAATGCTCTCTGACAGTCACCATTGCAGGGACATTTTCACTAGGTTCTGTTGTTACAAAACACACCATTAAAGTCATTTGTTCCGTATGGCTGATGTCAGGTGTGCAGTCCAGAATAACAGAGTAATATCTTGCTGACTTCAGATCTGCCACAATCTTTTGTTTGACTTTTGTTGCCAGTAACTGTATGATCTCATTTTGAATTGTTTTTCCAAGGTAGTGGTGTGTGTACATTTCTTGGGTGGTGATTCTTCTTAGATGCTCCTGGAGTACAGCATCAAACTCAGCCATCAGCTCCACAGTTTTAAGAAAGTTTCCATTGTTTGGCACATACAGCTGATCTGAAGTGCCACACAGTGCTAGGTTTTGAGTAGCAAGCATTCTCACAATGGCAATGAGCCTTTTCAAAACATTTTGCCAGTAAAGAGATTCTGATGCAATCTTCTCTTGATGCTGATCATCTATGGTGGCCTTTAACCTTAGTCTCATCTCAAGCTGTTTCTGGTGATTTGCTGCCTTCTCATGGCATGCCAGATTTCTAGCCAGATTTTTCCAGTCCTTTCTTCCTGTAGAACCCAATGTGGCTGCAACATTAGACTGGAAGCGTTTGCAACAAAAACAGTATGCAGCATTCTGGGTTTTTGAGTACATAAGCCATGGCCTCTCCACTTTGTCACCAATGGGGATTTCATGCCAGTAATGTGTTGGATGGAAACTTCTATTTTCGTTGTCTTTGGGGAACATGAAGTTTTTCACTTGCTGTGGCCCATGCAGTACAAGGAAATCCCTCAGGCTACTGCTCAAGTGGGTCCACAGTCCTGGATCATCTAGACTTAAGGAACTACGCTCAGCAGCATCTGTTTCTTGCACCTCATCCACACTCCTCTCTGATCTACACTTTTCTTCAGGAATGTGCATGGTTACATCCATTTGAGATGGAGATATGGATGCTGCAGTAGCTGCCAGGTCACCTGCACTCTGACTAACTGGAAGATCAGGCATCTCCTCACCACTCACATCCTCACTGGGGCCGGAAGGCTCACCATGAACATTTGTGTCTATGTATCTCAGGAGAGCTTCTTCCTGCTTATGTAAGCGGGGGAATGGTCCCGCTATTGTGGGGAACTTTCCTGGCTTCTGCACTACCCCGGTGAAGTGGGCTAGCGAAAGGATCCGAGTCCTCGCTCCCACTTCCTTTACCCAGAGGCCTCCCTGCCCTTGAGGACTCCCCTTCCACTCTCCTGTCTGGCAGTGTCCTCGTAAACCCCGACAAGGCTGGGCCCAAGATTCCTGGGGGGCTCG